AAGGGGGGAGGGAGGGAAGTGGGTTTCTCCCCCAAAGGGCTCGGGCGCCTGCCCCAGCCGTAAGTTCCACTGGAGGATACAGATGGCTACAGGGGATTCTGGTTCTTCAGCTTTTAAAAAAATGTGTTTGCATGTAGGTATCAGTTTTTTGCCATTTTTCCCTCCAAAAACTCATATTAAAACATCCAACGGGCAGAATCCCTAACCAAACGGCACGCCACGCAGACCTGGAATTGGAGAGCATGTGTTGGAGCGCATGTGTTTCTGTTGCTAGGCGAACTGCCGCACAGCAGGTCCGGAGCTCCTGCAGCACTCCCTGGGCTTTCCAGTGTGGCAATTTCTGTTCAAAAAGGCACTGGGGGTAGCTTCATGGTTTTGACTTAATATCTCATGCACTAGTTTCGAGAGCAAGGAGGAAAGAATCAGGTTCTAGGTTTGCAGGTATGCATACTGTTTGCGTCCGCATTCAGGCACTGACTGTAATTGTAAAAGCCGCTGCACAGCCCAGTGAAACCAGTCCCTCCCAGCTGCCCAGCCGGTGCATAATGGCAGGCTGTTCAGGCTGGGCAAATGCATCTGCAGATTACTGCATCCAACTGAGTGAGCGTGGGTCTGGTCCAACAAAACATTCGGGCACACACTTAATGCAAAGTGTGCGAACCGTCCCACTGCGCCCTACCACGAATATTTATGAATCTACATCCTTCTGAAAATCCACTGCCCAGCCCCATCGTCTGATTACATACGAGATGCACAACTGCAGTAAATAAGCGTGGAGATGAATTGTCCTGTGTGAACGCGGCTGATAAACTCCAGTCCTCAGCACTTAGTTATATATCCAGTAATCGCTTTGTGGCTTCACTTAAGCAAGAATGAAGAAATTTATGGCCCCTAATTCCTCTGAATCCTCATTAACAAACAGTCCAAAAAGAATTTAAAAGCAAGACTTTCCAAGGATCTGAGCTAGAGCTTTAATCGCTCTTTGGCAAATATGTAAAAATCCCTCTAATCTTTAATAAAGGGCATTCATTGCTTTTTTAGGACTATGTGAAAACACTAAACTCATTTATCATTATTAAACTTTCCCATCTGCTCTTACGGTGTAACTCCAAAGAATATAACAAAGAAATGTACATGTTAAATTGTATTGACTTAAGCCCAGAGCTATTGGAGATGTACAATTTATTTCAGTGAGGGCATGAAGGGGACTGCAGGCTGCTAGACAGAGTCATTTGTCCAGTGCTGAAAAGACAGTTATCTGCACCAAAATGGCTCGTGGAAAGGCACATTTGCTTTATAAGAAATAAGCTGCCAGGTGAGACCATTCAGCATTATGTTACAGACCCAGACAATAAAACTAAGCCATGAATTTCAATAGTTAACAGATGGACTAATTAGAGACTGAATTCTTTGTGGTTCTAACAGATAACCAGGTCACAGCAAGGTTACTGAGAGAGAGACAGGCAGCTTTGCAAATTTCGGTAGATATTTGCAGAGTCGGGGAAGAACTGCACTTCCTAACTGAAAGCGTTAGCAGCAGTGGAAGAACACGTCGAATTAAAAATGCATATAGTACCTGCATTTTAAAAGTTTCTTCCATTTTAAAAGGCACTGCTGATTTGAGAAATATTCCCTCCACTTTCAATGGGGCATCCAGCTGAATCCAGTAATTACAGAGCTTAAAACAGAAGGGTTGTTGAGATGAGCCACAGCACCCCAGCATAAAAGACCAAAGGAAATGCGTCGCTCAGGGTAAATGTTTGCTGTAAATATGAGAAAGGGACAAACTGCTTTTTCCACCAGGTTTTTTTTTTTGTAACCAAAGATAACCTAGCTTTACCTAGCTTTACCTAGTATTTACGGAGACATCACACAGTAAAAAAAAAAAAAAAAACAAAAAACAAAACACAGAGAGGAAAAACATGGCTTG